TTTGTATGTATTTTGTAAAAACTACTATCTGTGGATTGCTATGTCTTGGGTTTTATCCCTTAAGGTACACATTAAATATATATTATACCTAACTGTATAATCTAACTTCACCCTCTACTACAGCAGAAGTTTTATATTTGCATACAGAATCACACTTCTCAGTCATCTCCATACTTTTCTTTGGATAATATTCTCTTTAAAGAGTCTGATCAGATATATGTTGCATGTGTACTTTGGTCTCAGAGAAAGGGGTTATCTTGCATTTGACTTTCATTTCTTGTCTTCCATGGCTGTGAATATTTTTTGCAGGTATCTTAATGTGGGAGGTGTTCACTTTGGAAAAGCAGCCCTATGAGCTTCACGATAACCTGCAAGTGATTGAGAAGGTTTCTCAAGGATACAGACTTTATAGACCACAAGTAGTTTCAGACATCATCTATCAGATAATGTACAACTGCTGGCATGAGGTATGTTTATCTGCACATGCAAACTGGAGAAAAAAAAACAATAGGAGTCACTGCTGATAGCTGAACTAATGTTCATAGTGGAAAATATCCCTTATAAAAGCCATTGCTTGTGTGTAGTACATTCTATATAACACCCTAGTTCAGGACATTGTTAGTACAGGAAAAGGCATAAAGGAAGATAGGCTCCCTTCTTCTCAGAACCATGTGTTAAGCAAATAACAGTAAAATACCCTTCAACATCAACATAATATACAGGATGAGATTCTTCTCACCTAATTTTAATGGCTTAAAATTTGTGTGCTGAGCTAAGCTTATTGTCTAAATTCCTTCCATAATTACAGGACCATTACTGGTACCTCTCCACGGTAATTTGTTCTTTCTGTCTCAGCCACCACAGAATAAAAGATATCTGCTTTCATATACAGGCATCTTAAACAACTAATTTAGATGAGACCTCTACTTTTTAAAATACCTAATGTTGCTTGAAATAACCCCATCCTTAGAAAAGGAAGGATATGTTACTCCACCTGTGAGTCTCCTAGGAGTTGTAAGTCAAATCCTGATCATGCTCATGTTGTTTTGAGAGAACTCTGTCTGTCCTCTGTGCCAAGAATTATCCTGATTTTTTGTTGTTCTTCATCTAAAGTTTAGTCAGCTCTCTGTGGACCATGATTTGTTTCTCACCACCAAGAAAGAACTGTTTGGCATATTAGTGGTGTTAGCATTAAATGACAGTGATGTTTGGGGTTTTTTTAGATCCAGTTGTCAGAAAAATTATAAAAATAACTTACATTTGAGGACATGTTAATGTAAAGAAAGAAGCTTAAACTATTACAACATAAGAAAGATACAAGAAATTACTTTAATTTTCTTTATCTCATAAGCATCACTGTCTCTACAAATTTCTGCAGGCTAAAATCAAGAAAAACTAATGCAAATTACAGTTCTTGAATTATTTCAAAATTAAATAACCATACCCATCATGTTTCCTTCATTTAGTTACCAGAAAAGTGCCCTGCTTTTTATCAGCACTGAGAGAAGACAACAGAGCTTGAAAAAGAAGGCTCATAAATAGATGACTCTGCATACTGGTTTCGTATTGTCTGTCTTCTGTACAAGAGCTAAATCTGAAATCTGCCTGACGTTAACCACCCCTATTATTCTGTAGACTAGCGTTCTTCTCATTTAATCAGGGAGTTGACCAAGAATCATATGGAGAAAGCTTTTGTGACACTCTGCATGTGACAGAATATGGAAGGATACTGTGGAAGAATTAATTTTGTTACCATTGTCTCAAAGGACTTCTCAGACACCAAGACACATATACCAATTGTGTGCACTCCTTCAGTCCTTCCCAGCTGACATTATTTGGCCTAAACTGGAAATGTAAACAGGGAAATATATGGCTTAGGTTTTCTGATTATCATAACTCATCTGAATGTGTCTTTTCTTTGTAATCGCTGGAAGCTGACACTTGAACTCAAATTTAAAACTGCTGCAAGTGAGAGCAACATAAGTTGCATAAGCAACATAGTCTCACTTTCAATTATATAGAAATTACTACTGGTAAAATATTATATCGGTATGCTTACCAGTACTATTGACTTCAGTTTTGGCCCTCAGGGTGCATGTTTGATTTGGAATTTATTCTAATCTACATATCTAAGACATTTGCAATTTAGCAACATATGAGGTGTTTACTAGAGTTTCATTGCTTCCTGCTACAGGTGAAAATGGAGAAAAAAAAGTTTTATGCAGAATTCTGTTGTCATTGCAAAAGTAAATGTTAAATTTGCTCTATAAAACCTGAAGAGCAAAAATTTTAAGAGAACTGAAAATGCTATTAATATAATTGCTTAGCCAAATGTTTTACTACTCAGGAGCTGAAATTTAGCTCCTGATGTTAACACTGAGTTCTTAAATAAGACCACCCAACTTTCAAATGTGCATAGCACTACACAAATTAATGCTAACTTCAGTAAGTCTAGAGATACCAGATAATTCTGAAGCTACGTAACTGTAGCAGAGGAGTCTAAACTTAGACACTGACATTTTTAAAATGCTGATGTAATATGTATAAAATAAAGGGGGTTTAAAATAAAGTAAGGTCTGAAAAAAATCCTCTCCTCTTTCCTTATAGTTGGGCTAGTTCTGTGGGTGAAGCCTCTAAGAGTCCAAGTGACGTCTGCTCTCCCTTTCCCTGGTGGAGCTGGCCCAGCCCTAGCAGGCACCCCTCTGCTGCTCCAGTTTGAGCTTACCCAATCTAAGGAGTAAGAAATGCATGATGTGGACATGTGGGAGAGGGGAGAAAGAAATGAAGGTCTCTGACCAGCCAAAGGCTCCGGTGCCTGTGCTTGCTGGCATCACCTGGCCCCAGCGCTGGAGGCTGGCTAGCAGAGCCCATCCCTGTCTGCATGGGGAGCTGTGCGCGTGTTTGAGGGAAAGCAGCATTTGGGGTCATGGAGATGACCATAGGGATATACACAGGCTGGGGGTGAGGGCATGGGAGGCTGCACATGAGGGAGAAGTAGAGCATGGTATGGTGTTGCCTGTGCATCAAGCTGGGGCAAGGAGTGCTGAACAGAGAAAGGGTCAGGAAGGAGTGCTGACACTGATAAAATATGAGAGGAGGGGGCTGGGACCTCCCAGCACGGAAGGTGTGAAATATTGTTGGGGCTAATGCATGTGGCTGAGCTTTTAATATAAACATTATATTTTTATTTCTGTTCTTCCTACATCCTGCTATATTTTTTTAGTGGCTTTATGTGTTGACAATTCTGAATGGTGCTTTTTGATTCATAGCACAGCTTTTAAAATTAATTGCTTTGAAATGAAAGCTTTGCCTTAATGGAAATGTTAATCTTAACAACAGATCTGAAGATGGCTGGCATGACTAATTACATTATTCGATTGTTTCCAGCTTTGCTATTCCCTTTTTCTGTTACAGCACAGTAAGTGGGAAGACCACATATAGCTGAATTATTTATCTTAAAAGTTCAGCTAAAGTACTAAGGTTTGGAGATGTTATGGCAATAGGATGTGTGGTGTGGGTAGGAAACTTAAAGAAAAATTATTTTCATTCCTTTACATTCCTGTCTGATTTGCAGTTAATCAGTATCATCTACCGACCATTTTGAACTGTCTCATTTAAGGGTCTTGTCTCTTAATGAGGTAATGAGTGTGGAGCACTAAGAAAGTGCTTTGTGAGCCCAGAGAGTCCAGCTGTATGTTTTCAGATATAAGTTTGACTGCTTTTTACAGTTTTGTATGATTTTGGAGGCCTATGATTTTAAGAGTCCATGCATTTGCCAAACGTTTTTCATGCAGGCTTGTATATGCTGCTGTATTTTTGTCAGAATGCAGGACTGAGTAGACACCTTGTGCCTTTCAGTGAGCCTGGTGTGCACAGAACAACTGCACTGGCATGGTGGCAGGTGTGGCACGGGATCTCCAAGACACAGAATCATAGAAATTCTGGCTGGAAGGGACCTTTGGAGATCATCTGCCCAAACTTCTCACTCAGAGTGGGACTGACCCCACCGCTCGATCAGCCATACCTTTGTCTGCCTGAGCCCTGAACACTTCTCCCAGAGCATGGAATAGGCAACCTGTGCCAGTGCTGCACTGCCCTCCTTGTGAACAGCTTTTCTTTTTCAGGTGCAACCTGAGCTTCCCAAGCCTCAATATACCACCCTCTGGGCAATTCGTATTTGCAGTATGCAGTATTTGTAATGCAGTATTTGTAATAGTGGAGGCAATCGTTCAGGTGTTGAAAAAAAAAAAAAACAACACCAACACTTTGATAATTTAGTATTAAGGAAGTTTATTCCATTTTTAGATGACAAGATAATGTAGAGATTTTATTTTTTTTTACAAGGGCATGGGCTATTTGATCTCTACAATACTTATCAAGCAAACAGTTAGAAAAATAACATGCTATAACTTCCTAACAAAGTTCCAGTGCTTGCTAGTCTTCATTCAGTATCCATTTTACATCAATACAGATTTCCTGAAGGTGCAAATACTGCAGTTATTTCACATCAGATTGAGTTCTTCACCACTAAGGTTCTTCTGGTGATCAGGTTTTTTCTCACTGTCTATTAGATAACACTTCTGAGGTCTCCATCTGGAAAGGTCAAGATGGTCCTCATGGGCATTAGGAGTACGTGAGTTGTTCTTAGGTCTATCTTGATCTGTATACAACTCCATACATCCAAGTTTTTGTATCTCATTTACAGAGGAAACAAAGACAAGTTGAATGCAGCATATTTATGAAATGCAGCACAAATAGTGTATAATACTATGTGCATAATTCATAGAAAAGCCACAGGACATATATATCTTACATTTTTTCATGTTTTCTAGTTACCACATAAAGAGCAGATTTAGATGCTCTTGTCTATGAACCAGTAGATTAACAGTCAACCAGAAGACATTATGTTTGATGACATCCACAGTATTTTGGTCTTTACTAGGCACGATTGTTAAAAATGAAATCTAAAAACCCAGAAACCCTTAGTGTACTCACATCTTCTAAAATGCTGTCTGTATCTCTTCAGATGGCTCAAAACCCACGTTGCTTTCTCCCTCTACATTGTAAGGGTTCACCTCTTCACTCCCACTTTCTCTCACTCTCCTGTAACAAAAATTCATTTTATATTAGAAGCCCCTGTTCTGTTCAAGTCCTTCTGGATCCCCAGAATCCTCTACTGTAAATAATACTGTGCTAAATTGAGAATATTTCTATAAAAGAAACTGTGTTGGTTCTAAGGGGAACTGTAGCAATCCTACTACATTGTTAGAAATCCCATTAATGGAGAGACATAGCAGACCAACCCAGCTATATTGCTGTTAATATTTAAGGAAAATGACACTACTGGACAACCTCCAACAAGAATATTGAAAAATGCAGGTGCTGATGAATGTGGGCAAACTCCGCTGTTGGAGAAGGCACTGTGCTCCCAGCAGGCCACTCCATCCACCTCACAGTGGGGTTGGCAAAAGCGGCCACAGCATCCAGCTGCCTTGGTCAAACTGCTGATGATGGGGAAATTGTGCTAAGCTGTTAAAGCTGCCTTGCACTGAAAGGCTGGCAACTGAACCTTCAGCCATCACTGTTGGTGGGAGGGCGATAATAAGCTTCTTGCTTCAGTTAGATTTGGCAGCCCATTTGTAAGCACCCTGATGATTCAGTCATTGGGACATCTCCCAACGGTCATGATCACAGTATCGAAAACATTACTCACTTTTTTCGTCTTCTCTGCCCAGTGATGATCAAGACAGTAACTCCAATGACAACCAGGCTAATGACAACCCCAAATACAATTAACCAGACAGTGACTGGAGGTTCATAAGGTGTGGCCAGGGTTGGAAGTATGCCCACAAACTCCAGCGTGTTATCATCCAGTCTGAAAGCCTTGTTGATTCGTCCCCGAGACATCCTGCCATCAAGAGCATATTCAAAGAGTTTCACACATTTATTGGAAGGGAATAAACAGTTCTCAGTTGCTTTATAAATTTCAAGTGTTCCAAGCTTCCCCTGAACTGCTCATTTGGAAAGGCTGCACAGCAGGTACTCCTAAACCCATATTTCTTCTGGCATGGGGTGGCGGATGACAAGCACAGTAACTTAAGTCCTTAATCTGTTTCAGCTTAATTGACATGTTCAAACACTGTATGAACTCTTAAACTCAGTCTTAACATTTATCAAAATGAGGCAATCAGTGTTCTGATCTCCCTCTCTATTTGCATTTTGCCTCTTATTCTCTTTACCCTAAGGTTCTTGGCTATCCATAAGCTTCTTGGATATGTGACAGAAAACCACAGCTTTGACTTCTTCTTACCTGTTTCTCCCCTACAGTCTTCCACAGTTTTGATTCTTGTGTTTTTCACTGCCCTGAAAACCCTTTCCCTGCTCTATTTTCTGTGCCTTGTTTTTCCCTGAACTTCCACTTCTGTGATGGAGTGCTAACCAGACAGTGACTTTCACAGCCATATTCTTCTCCCTTGGTTCACCAACTTCTCTAACTGCTTTTCAACCCCATCTCATGTCGCTGTTACTTTTAGATTTGTGCCCTCTTAATTTCCCACTGTACATCATCCGCGACCATCCACAGAGTTGCAGTTCTACTTACCATTTTTACAGCAGTAACTTACAGCAGTGCCATACTGTGCTATAAAAGAACTCTTCATTGACCCGTAGGTGGGAACTAGCTCCTGCTGTGACCTCTGCTTTTCTGTATAATCAAATACATCTGCTGTCTTTCTAATACATCATTATTCTGGAGTCCTTGCTATACAGTTATGCTTGCACTGGATCTTCACTAATGCGAGGAAGAAAACATGCGTGCATGCACACACCGTTATCGTGCCCTGGATTTCAGGACATTAGATAATTCCTGTTAAAGTCTGAGCAACAATATTTCCTGGCAAGGTATGATGCAATTAGGTGTGTTATAGCAGTTTTACAAGCCCCCTGAAGCATTTTACACTGGCTGTCGTCCAAGACACAATCAGATAGATGGACTGTTTTCTTTCTGTCATAATCGTTTCTCTCGTCCCACTGCTTCCACGCTAACTGCAAAACTGACTTTCTTATCACCCCTTCTGCCTCAGCTGACTTGAGTGCTGCTTTCCCTTCCACTCTTCCACCTGGTTGTTTGGGTTTTTTCCCCAGAGAGCAAAATCTCACCTGATGGCATTTTCCACATCAGCTCTGGGCACAATATCACTGATATTACCTGGCATGCTGACAATGAGGTAGAAGGAGATCCTTTGTGTCATTTCCTCAATGTGAATGTCTGCAACCCTGAATGAGAAACAGAAGAGAAAGGGGTTTTTTTGATTGTTAAAATTACATTAGCTTTAAATTTGGGCAAGTGAATAGCTGTGTTTGACCCATAATGCCAGTGAGTTATTCTGAGTTAATGCTTCCTAGTGACCTCAACTGGGGAGTTAAATCAATTTTCCTGACAGAATCTCTTTTTCTATGTGCTAATTCATAACTTTAGATGGAGAGAGCCTAGCCCATACCTAAAACAATCCTTGGCATAATATCCCAAAGCACATCATCAGCTGCAGAACAGAGTGTTTGGGGCAGGTCTTGTAAAGTACCGAAAGAAAAGAAATAATCTTTCTTCCTTATATTCAGCTGGGAATAGATCTTAGATGTTACATGACTGATGTTCTATAAAGCAATATCAAATAGCTTAAGTAGATAGCTTCTGAAAATTTTCAAGAGACCTACTAAAAAAGGTTGTTTCTCTTACCAAAATCAATTTCAGATGATAGATTTTATGTTTGCAAGTGAAGCTAGATAAGATTAGGATGTCTGCATGGAATTCCAGTGCTTTATAATCAAGAAGTTTATCTTTTCTTGGCCCAAAACCTCTTTAATATTCAGTATCATACACATACATTGTCAGAAATTTTTATTTCTAATCAATGTTTCTTCCCTGATATTCCCACATAGGTGTCGGGCACAAATTCTCTAGGCTCACTTCCACCACTGATAAGCTGTGGGAGACAAAGCCTTCTGCATCCACTGAATTTAACCAACTTTAACATGGTACTCCTAAATTTCAGACTCCTGAGTGAAAAGACAGTATGCAACCAAGCTGGCATCTTGCCTTTTGCAACCAGTTGATGTTTGATGTTGTTTGCTGTCACCTTACATTTGACAGAAGGCACAATTAATTCCACCAATTGATGCTGCTAGCAAGCCAGAAGCAGTACAGACATAGCCAGCACAATTAAGCAAGCCACTCACTGGAAGTTAACTTCCTCTTGCTTCACCTCTGCAAAGTATTTTCTCATGGCATAGGCAATGGATGACTTGAACAAGAAGAGCTCACTTTCATCCCATTCATACTGCAAAAACAGCACCAGAGAAATTCATCAGAGATGGTAATTGTACAGCAAGTTATCTGACACTGAGAAATCATTCTAAAAAGAAATAGCAATTGTAATGCTTGGCATGCACTTCAGTATTATTTATTTGTGCCATGATGGCACTTCATGCACCTACTCAAACCTTTCAGCTCTGTTAATCTGGGCAGTCTGCAGGATAATAACCAAGCAGGCATCCCTGCTGCCAGACAGTGCATCGTGCTGTCCCTCTCCAAATTCTGGTACCTTTACATGGGGATGCTGAAGATGCTGCAGTCACCAGCCCATCTCCCTGCCTTAAGGGGAAAAAAGGCAGCAGAAGCAACATTATTCCTACTAAATATTGTGCATTCTGTTTGAAGTCTAGAGGTGCCATAATTTAGATCTTGTTTTAATCACATAATTTTATTTGCAGACCTGTACTTTTAAGGAGGAAAAACTTTG